TCGTTTTTGATACTTCTTGGTTTTGATGTTTTTGTTGTGAAAGGGGAAGATGAGACTCCGGGCACCCCGTAAAATAGGTGCTCTATCGTTATAGTAACCTCGCGTTGTTGTTTAAATTAATTGTTTGGGTCTGATAGGGAGCTGTGGTGGTGCAGCTGTGTCGGGCGTCATAACAAGTGTATATATACATAAATACACACAGACATACATATTCTTTCGCGAGTTTGGGGTCTGTAACATTTTTTTGCAAAAAAAATTCATACTTTTATTCACCAAGGACATAATCATTTGATTGAAAGTGACAGTAAAGATGATTCTAATTTCACAAACACACAAAAAAAATGCATGGTTTACACAATAATGTTAAGCAAAACAACTATTTTCAACATAATAAATATGATAATATTTATAATGATGATAATGAAAGAATAAGTTATTCATGTGCGAGGCACTAATTAACCAGCAACCCAAAAAAACAAACACGTACACAGAATGTGACAATGTTCCCATCTACTTAGGACTGCAAAATAAATTACTGTGGACTTTAGCCAACAGATTAAGTCTAATGAAATGTAACAAATATTTTAGAAAGGTAGTTTGTGTAATGTCTATTTAATTATTTACTCATCTGCTGCAATGATATCATGTCTTAAAGGCACAGTTCACCCAAAAATATATATACATAATTTTCTCACACTCAAGTTGTTTCAAACCTGCACGAGTTTCTTTCTTCTGTTGAACAAAAAACAAAATACGTTGAAGATTGCCGGTAGCCAAAAGTCCCCACTGCCTTCATGGGAAAAAATAAGTCAATGGGGACCAGAAACTTATGCAGGTTTGGAACAATTTGAGGGTGAGTAAATGATGACAGAATTTTAATTTTTGGCTGAACTAACCCTTTAAATGAACCTTTTTTTATTTACTACCTAATCAGCACTATCCATCAGTCGACCCTAGTATGTTTTCAAACTCGTGTGAACAATCAGGTGTGTCAAATATTGTATGAATCTCGATTCAGACCATACAATCCATCACACTGGACATCATTCTCTCTGGCATTGATCGTCACACAATCTTCTCAATCAAATAAACCATGTCGCCTGAAGCCACAGGAGAAACAGCAGCATAGGGACTGTCATCCGCTGCTTATGCAGTTTACATCACAGCCAGACACTTACTGACTGACCCTGTCACATTCATTAATGGGGAAATCACATTTCAGCAAAGTTTCGAACTTGAGGAAGGGGAAGCGTGCATTATTGTCCATTTAAAACAAAATTACCCCGTTTTAAGTGTTTTAGCTGGAAGACAGGAGGCTTGTAAATGCCTAACAAGGTCTATAAAAAGTGCACATCAACAAAGAACAAGCGCAAATGGGATGCAAACTTCCCCTGAATGACAATCCAAGGTCTCATCGCAGCAAACAGTAATTTAAGAGCATCTTCCCACATAAAACAAGACAGAAAAGACAGCACATCATCTCAAGCCAAGTACCCCATTCATGACCCGAGTTCTTGATGCCATTACGAGAGTTTAGCAAGTTAAATAAGCTACAAACTGGATTACAAGTGAGGCAGCGTTAGGTGCATATGACAGAGAAATATGAATTCATAAATATTTATGCTTTTCAAGTGATTTTTCAAAAACTGGACAGAACCGATGAAGACATCAGCATATCAAATTAGCTGAGATAAAACAGGCTTCCCATATAAAGCATTAGAAAAAATACAAAGATGTGTGTAGGTGGCACATGCGGACCATAAGGATGTGGAGATGCATTTTAAAGTGGTCTGGCATTTACAAGAAATGTTATTTGGAACAATAAATGGACACAAACAGATGTAATAAACAACTATAACTATGTTAAGATGCACAGTGCCATGTACATTTTATGTATTTATTGATTTATGATTGATTTATACACTACACAAAAATAAAAAAACAATCAATTACATTTAGGAAAACTTTGCTATGCAATTCAATTAAGGCTTTCTGGGCAAAAAAAATTATTCATTTGACCAGTCTGCACCATCATTCAGTGTTTCTTTGAAAAAACTGCTCTATTTTAAGAGGCCGTTCATACAGAATATGCTTTTCCAGTCCAATGTGCTACTTTCCATAGTTTTTCTATGTAAACACTCAAGACGGATGTGTGTGACTCCCCTGAATGACAATCCAAGGTCTCATCGCAGCAAACAGTAATTTAAGAGCATCTTCCCACATAAAACAAGACAGAAAAGACAGCACATCATCTCAAGCCAAGTACCCCATTCATGACCCGAGTTCTTGATGCCATTACGAGAGTTTAGCAAGTTAAATAAGCTACAAACTGGATTACAAGTGAGGCAGCGTTAGGTGCATATGACAGAGAAATATGAATTCATAAATATTTATGCTTTTCAAGTGATTTTTCAAAAACTGGACAGAACCGATGAAGACATCAGCATATCAAATTAGCTGAGATAAAACAGGCTTCCCATATAAAGCATTAGAAAAAATACAAAGATGTGTGTAGGTGGCACATGCGGACCATAAGGATGTGGAGATGCATTTTAAAGTGGTCTGGCATTTACAAGAAATGTTATTTGGAACAATAAATGGACACAAACAGATGTAATAAACAACTATAACTATGTTAAGATGCACAGTGCCATGTACATTTTATGTATTTATTGATTTATGATTGATTTATACACTACACAAAAATAAAAAAACAATCAATTACATTTAGGAAAACTTTGCTATGCAATTCAATTAAGGCTTTCTGGGCAAAAAAAATTATTCGTTTGACCAGTCTGCACCATCATTCAGTGTTTCTTTGAAAAAACTGCTCTATTTTAAGAGGCCGTTCATACAGAATATGCTTTTCCAGTCCAATGTGCTACTTTCCATAGTTTTTCTATGTAAACACTCAAGACGGATGTGTGTGACTTAGGGCTGCACGATTATGACAAAAATCATAATTGTCGATTTTTCCCTTGAAATTGTAATTGCGATTATTAATTACGATTATCACAATTTACACTGAATGATGTTTATACCATTGTTTGATGCAACTGCATGCTGTATTTTTATATGAAAATAAACAAGCTGAAAACACTCTAACTGAAAAACGTTTTGTGCTTTTATATAGTATTAAGCCTCAAATGTCAACTATTCATCGGATTGGTTTCTTCTTTAAATTATAAAAAAGTTAAAATATGAATGGTATTATAGTGTTATACTAAAACTAAAATTAAAACAATGGAAAAATCCTTAAGATAACATGTAGAAAGAAAAAAAACGCATCTTAAGCACGCAGAATAACATAAGCGCACTTTGAATTATTAATTGCCACTTTGAACGATTACATAATTGTGGCATCCATAATTGTAATCGCGATTAGAAATTCGATTAATTGTGCAGCCCTAGTGTGACTGTTGTGCTCGTGTCTCGCAAATTTTGCAGCATGTTGCACATGTATGCCACGTTTTTAAGACACCGTGGCAAATTAAAACAATTTCAACTTTTACATGCAGCGGCGTTCATCAATGTCAGTCATCAATTCATCAATGTCCAAAACAATGGACCAATCAGAAGATCCGGAGGCGGGGCAGGTGTTACAAGCTTTTGTTAACAGTAACACGTTGGCATGGCAACAGTTTTATTTGATGGCAACATGGTGAAGCAGGCATTCTGCAGTGTGCTTTTTTATAAATATGTTTCTGAGTGCTGCATCTCATATTTTCAGATGCAAAGATGCATTCTGTGTGAACGGCCCCTAACAGCCTTGCCTTACCTTACATTAATTCAATACATCTAATTCAAACAGGTTTTACCAAACAATGGCTATAAGTTTTATATTTATTTTGTATCATGTATTATTAATTATTATATAAGAGTGTGTGTGTGTAATTAAATTTTTCTATATATTTATTTTGTCCTTTTGCTTATTTTTGCAAATATAGCTGTAAATAGTCTTAAAGGTAAGGTAGGTGATTGCAGCAATATCAAGCTAGCTTTGAAAGCATAAGATCCCACCCTCCCTGCAAATCACTCTCCAAAGCCACACCTCCTCCAAAACACATGAAGGTGCACAGACAGACCAGAGGCTAACCTGCGACACGATGAAAGACGGAACTGGTGGAACTGGTCTCATTCACCGGTGAGAAAACATTACAGTACAAAGCGCATAATATTACAATAATAACGCCTTCCATTCTCGCTCGATCTGCAATAGCGTAATGCAACGCGCTAATGACGTATCATGTCTAATAACACTGCATACTGCTAACATTGCATAGAATAAAATGAAGTTGTGACAAAATATTTACAGATTGTGTTGCAGTAGCTGATTTAATTAACTTAATTGAACAAGCAGCAAAAATCTATTTTCTATTAATCTTATTATTATAAAGAATTGAATTGAAAGCAAACACAATCCATGTTAATTACCTCATTGTTGTGTTGTATAAAAATGCGGTTACACTTTACTTGAAGGGGTGTGCATAAGACTGACATGACACCTTCATAATCATGGCATGACACCTACATAATTATGACATGACACATATCATGAATATGAAGGTTTTTTATGCATGTTTATGACAACAGTCATTAAGTGTCATTTGCTCAGTTATGTAATTTTTAATGCAAAGATGACATTGTTTGAGATGTCTTTGTTATGGGCTATGGTTAGGGGTTAGGGGTAGGGTTAGGTCAAATAATGTCATATTTGCATTAAAAATTACATAACTGAGCGAATGACACTTAATGACAATTGTCATAAACATGCATAAAACCTCCTTCATATTCTATTAAGGTTATTAAGGTGTCATGTCAGTCTTATGCACACCCCTTCAAGTAAAGTGTTACCAAAACTGCATTCAAAAATGTAATGCATTTATCTTGCAATGAAAAATTCAATGTGAGGTTATAGGATTGCTATAATATAAATATACATTTCAGATATAGTGATGCATGTAATTTCCATCCTTTACGACAAGCCGAGCAAAACTCACCTTAACGGTTTGGTCCAGGGATGCGGTGGCAACACGGGCTTGTGGTCCCATCAGGCCACAGTGGATGTCGGTGATGGGGAGGGAGTGGCGGGAAAGAATGTGGCACGGTTCTGGTGTGCGGGACGAATCCAACTGAACAACGCTGAAACACAATACACAATTTTTCATTACCTTGCCGTTATGAAGTCTTTATAATAAACGACACGCTCAGGACAACAATAATTAATCATGAGAGCCATCAATTCTATCACATATTACTTGTGAGATGAGTTAATTAAAAATTGATGAATGTGAAATAATAAAATATAATACACTGGGTGTAAGTGAAATATTAAGATTGATATTCATTTTCTCTCTATACAAGAATCAATGGCAAGCCTTGACCTTGAAAGTATTACTTTATAAGATTCAATGATTCTAGATATCACACCACATCCTATACTGTGCCTTTCTGTAGAGGATTATATATACATATATTTTTTTGTTTGTTTGGATGTCAACATCTGGAAAAAATATCAAACAAGTCATTAAGAAGCAATGCAAATGATTTAGTGTAAAATGCAAAGAAAAAATGTGCAATCATTTAGTAAGTTAATGAAATAGCAGCAATAATTATTATTTTTACATAAATGATTCACATATATTATGTATATATAAAATTGGTTGCACATATTGGATTATTAGACGCATTAAAATAGTCCAAATTGAGAAGAAAAAAGAATGAATCAAATGTCAAATATACATAGTCTCATGGATTGATGACAGAGATGGTTTTTGATCATTGTTCATTCTTTAGCTTTTTATTGGATCATGTGCATTTAAATGATATCTAACTTCTAATGCCTCATACACATCTCTTGCTCTATGCTCCTGACACCCACTATTCTTTCAAAAAAATGTTTTAATGAAATTCATTGTTCTTACTGTAAAAGAATCTCACACACTCTCATGCTTTAAATAAAATACATAAACAATATCATTTTAGTGACATTTTATGATTTATAGCTTTTGTGTTTTTAATTGAAATTTAAAATATTTTATTTAGAAAAACTCGCAAATGTCTGTCTTTAACAACTCGCATACATCATATACAAACAATTAATCAGCATGTTAATTAGAGGTTATTATGGTTTTATGTTTTAATACTGATTTTTGCTTCATTATTTTAAAGTGTATAATAATATGCAGAAACAATTAGTATTACATAATACACAATATACATCATATATGTGAATAATTTATTCAAAAATAAGTATTGCTGTTATGCCATTAACTTTATGCAAAGCACTTTTGCTAAGTTATTTATTTTCATATTCGATTTCACAATTTGCGATATCCATTAATTCTGCTAAAACATGCTCTGTTTACTTGAAAAAATGTTGGAAATCAATTGTACTTATTTCTATATCTCTATTGCTTAAAATGGAAGACTAAATCTGTTGAAAATAACTTTTGCAGTACAAAATGTAACAGTATTTAATGAATTAACAGTAATCTTACTATCAAATATGAAAAAACATTAGTAAACATTCTAGAATATATTAACTGAAACTGACATATTAAACTTAATATTGCTTAATTTATACAGGAAGAGTTTGATTTCTTCACTTTTAGCTGATTACTTGAATTTTCCCTTTAAGTTTGCATAAAAAATAAGGCAACTGTTTTCCAAGCATTTTTTCAGTAAACTGAACTTGTGTAAAGTCACACTGCTAATGACTGTTGCATGTGTCTGGCCAAACGATCAGCCTCAAGAAAAAGACTGAATGAGAGAGATGCGGAGACGAGAAGGAGATCCAGATGGAAACACAAGGGCAGATAAAGTGAGATGAGACAGAATTGAACCCCATTCTGTCAGCACCGCTGCCTGACGCGGCACCGCTGGGCGAGCTCAGGGGCCGACCCGTCTTAAACAACATCTGTCATACACATCTGCGTTTTTATGTCTGAGAGAGTGAGGATCATTTCTGATTTGTGCTCAATTTTACATTTGCATTAATTGAGTTTCCTAGTTCTGGGTGAGCGTCCATGTCTCTCCTTCTGTCCACAGTTCACTTCTGCTGTGTTCATGTGAGTTATCATAGCAGTCTGAAGTTCTTCAAACTTCTGGATTCACAAAATGAATCAGGGTTAATTAATGTATTATATCAATACTCCTAGTTTCTTTTAATTACCACAACTGAATACAGAAAACTTTGTTGTGACCATAATGGGGAACGATGGGGCTTCTTTGGTCAAAAAGAATCACTGGTCTCATGTCAAAAGTGTCCACACCCGATCCTGGTCTCTATACATAGTTTCATCAGAACCCCAGAAAAGGTTCAAATAAAATGTAAAATAAACTGTGACTATTAGGACAACATATACCACTATAAAATCATTAAGACATCATAATGGCATTTATATGCACGTCACACCTCTGTTTATCAATTTGCACTGGCTACCAGTAGCTGCTTGCATTCAAATCAAGGCATTAATGTTTGCCTACAAAACCACCACTGGCTCTGCACCCCTTTACCTAAATTCATTACTTCAGACTTATGTGCCTCTTCTGCAAGTGAACGTCGCTTTATTGTGCATCCCAAAGAAGCACAAAATCACTTTCACGGACTTTTACATTAACTGTTCCCTCCTGGTGGAATGACCTGCCCAACTCAATCCGAGCAGCTGAGTCCTTAACCATCTTCAAAAATTGGCTAAAAACACATCTCTTCCATCTGTATTTGACCCTCTAACTCTAGCACTCGATATTCTAATTCTATTCTTTATTTTTTTTTAAAACGTGCCCCTTTATTTTTAACAATGCATTGTTACATTTGCAACAAATACCTTTCACATTTTTTGTTTAAAAAAAACATTTTTAAAAATCGCAACAAGCTGAAAATTATATATGCTGAAAAAAACTGGTGCAGGATTTACTTAGAAATTCTTTTACTCAGAAACTGCTAGCAAATTTCACAAATGTTTACAAAAAATTTTAAGCAGAAAGACTGAAATAGTAGGCCTATTTTCTTGTAAAACATGCTCCTTTTATTAATAACCTTTTTTGACTCGATTGTTATGAAGAGATCAAAAATACTCAGTTATATAAACTCCGTTATGAACTGGAGGTTTTCCATAAAAATATGTATATTTTGGTATGTATTGTTATAAATCCATAACCGTCAAAAGTCTGGAATCATTCAGAATTTATAATGTTTTGAACTGTTTTTTTCCCCGTTTTTAATGCTTCTGCTTTCCAAGGCTGCATTTATTTGATCAAAAATACAATAAAACAGAAATATTATAACAATTTACAATAACTGTTTTCTATTTTAATATATTACATTATCACGTAATATATTTAATAGATTTCAAATGTTGCAAACCATTTATATTTCAAATTAATGCTGTTTATCATTAATGCTGAAAACGGTTGTGCTGCTTAATATTTTTGTGGAATCTGTGATACATTTTTTCAGCATTCTTTGAGAAAAAAAAGTGTTTAAGAAATGTTTCAGCAAATCCGCATATTAGAATGTTTTCTGAAGGATCATGTGACACTGAAGACTCTAGTAATGATGCTGAAAATTCACATCACAGGAATAAATCACGAATCCCGAAAATTGAAAAAAGTACATTTAAATTGTAATAACATTTCACAATATGAATATGCTTATAAGAAATATTTATGAAAGATCCTTTGTACCTGCTGTGATTGGATTTATTAATCAAAAGGTTATGTGATTTGGTTATGAGTATGGTGGTTTTTATTTGTGTTTTGTGGCATGTGTTTTGTGTCTGGTATTGGCATGGTCAAAGACTAATTTCAACCATGGCTGATAATAAAAATGCATTGCATTGTATTGTATTGTAATTTGTATTGTTTTTTTATGTTGATTATGGTGATGGCTGAGAGGTTATTCTGTCGAGCGATACAGATACAGAATAATAGATGCGCGTCATCTCCTTTCAAAACTCAGAGACAGACGCTGAATTATTCATCCTGGTTTGATGGCTGCGTGCCTCTCTCCTGCCTCCTTCTTTCATACATTGCAGCCCGTTGGCCTGGTTTACCTTAACTAATGCCATCAAACAAACATGACCGCGAGACATCACTGGCCTTCTCCTTCAACCTTCAGTTCAAAACCAGCTGTTACGTCAAATGCAGCAGGAAGCCTCAAACTGCAAGTCTTCAAAAACATACCACAAGTTTGGGCATCTCTCATAATTGATAATGCTCAGAAAGCCTTGAGGTGAATGTCTTTGCTCATCAGTCTCACCTCTATGGCTTCAAAGTACGTTACTTCAGATCGATAACAATAACAGCGCAGCACAATAGAGACGGACAGATCGGCTGAACACAAACAGCTTGGAAGCCGAACGTATCTGAAAGCAGTGGAAAAACTGCCTCAGGGTTAGACAAACCAGAGCTGCAGATTTTAGCCAATTAAAAGTCGTTTTTCACATGCTTTAAATCTTAATTACTCTGGTTGAGATGTTCTTAAAGCCATCTTGAAACAAAGTGGAGATGTAAGGTTGTTTATCTAGATTTATTTCACCATCTGCACCTGCTGGAAAACATTGAAAACACTCCCAGCGCCATCTACTGTCCGTAACGTGGAGGCAACCCTGTTTCAGAAGCCTGGGAAAGAACATGTCTCGGTTATATTTCACCCCAAAAATCAAAAGAAACAAGAATGAATAAAAATAAGCTCATTTTTGGAACATTAAGGATGTTTTTGCATTGTGACATTATTGTCAAAATAAATAAAGATATCACACATGATACGCCAGAGAAGTATTTGTTGTACTGTCTTTGTCATGTTAAAATAAATAAATAAATAAGCAAACATATATATATATGTATATGTATAAGTGCTGTCAAACGATTAATCGCATACAAAATAAAAGTTTTTATTTACATAGTATATGCGTGTGTGCTGTGTATATTTATTATGCATATATAAATATAATATATAGAAATATATGTGTGTGTAACAATCCAGTCAAACGATTAATCGCGATTAATCGCATACAAAATAAAAGTTTTTATTTACATAGTATATGCGTGTGTGCTGTGTATATTTATTATGCATATATAAATATATGTGTGTGTAACAATCCAGATATCAGGAACATTAGGAGTGGACAAATCAACAG